AAGTATGTGATATATGATTTTGGATATGGTCAAGAAGAACCCACCCATGCAAGAATTTGAGATAGTTAGATAATATAATTTGTGGATCTAGTTCCCATTTCCCCAAATACCTTGTCACACCACCATCATCATCATCATCATCAACCAAGCCTTGTCCCAACTATATGGAGTTGGTTTAGTGTGTCATTGTTAAAGAAAAGATAAATTGGGATACATGACCCAAAAACTATGACAAATGTTTTAATGTTAGCTACCAACCTAACACAACCTTTATCCAGGATTGGGATTGGTGGTGTAAAACAAGTTCACACAAGTGGAATTTCACACTGGAAGAGTTAAGTTCACACAAGGCTTGTCATATGTGAACATGTAACACTTGCACTATAGGATCTCAAGCTTTGGTTAGAATTTCACACTGGTGTAAAACAAGTTCCCCTTTGTTGTGCTTGGTATAGATAGGATCAATAGTCAAGCTACCAAAGGCCATACTTTTTATCCAGCTATAATATTCAAATGAGCAAAACTGTGAGGAATCTAGGAATCCTAATTAATGCTTCATTTGGTTGGTTCTAGTATGAAATCAACAAACAACCGCATTGAGCATGGCAAAGTAGTGATATTTAGGACAAAAAGAAGCTTCTAGCAGGAAAGCCTCTCTAAAAAGTTCTAGTAAGAACAAAGGTGTCAAATAGATCGGTATGAAGTGTTCATTGACCAATGTTGTTCGAGTCATTGCTAAGCTGGCCCTAAGAGACACGTGGTCACCCAGCCATCGCCCAACCACGTCAGCCTAGCACAGCCACGTCGACATAGCTCGGCCGAGCTATGCTATTATTGTGGCCCCCCATCTTATCCTTTCAGCCACGTTAACTACACGTCACATGGATGAGCACAACTACTGCTAAAGAAGAGTAAGGAAGACAACTCTGCTAGGGAATGAGACTTTATCCCAAATACCTCGACGGCTAACCTCATCTCGATAACCCTGGAAGCCCAATCTGACCAGGACACGGATCTTCGGTTATAAAAAGGTACTCCATGCTCAAGGTAAGTGGCCCCAACTTCTGACACCCGTACTGCTACTTAGCTCGGACCAGCATTCTTATAGCTCGACCCAACCACCTACCACCCCCTACTGACTTGAGTGTTGGAGTACTTACCTGGGGATAACTCCTCGGGCCTCTGACATCTCCTCTCTTGATCGCAGGTCTTGAAGCGCAGCCTCGTCCTTGTAGCTTGGCCCCACCCTACCAACAAAGACCATCTGGTTGCTCTCCCCAGTTCGTGCACCACCTCGGATTGTACAACATCAAATGCATTGGTTATTAACAAGAAAATTAGATTAACCCAACATATGTATAGTTGTCATTGTTGGGTGATAGCTGAACAACTGTCTCGTAGTAGTTTCTTAGGTGATTATCTTTCATATGAAAAAAAAGAGTGATTTTAGTTTCTTTTCCACATCTCTTAGACTACAAAACATTAATTGTTATCAATAACACAAAACAATAAGATACATGAAGGCAGAAGGCATCAAAATAGATCACAAGGAAGCGTTTGGGGAGAGGAGATGTCCAATTTCAAAATATCATTATTGATGTCTGATACTTGATCATTGTGATCAGTGCCTTGGTGTAGGTACAAGATTATACTTTGTTCTAATAATTATTTCGTAAAGCAATAATTCCCATTCTCATTTACCTAGCTACATATTGACCAATTCTCTGAAAAAATAAAGGTGTAAGGCAAGTCACTAGGATCATGTTATGCATGAGGCATAAGCCTCATCATATCTCATTCTCTCATGAAAAAAAAAAGATTAACTAAATTGAGAAAAAAAAGGTATCAAAACAATGAATAAATGGACATATATAGGCTTGGGGCCTAACAACTTGCCACCTATCTCCTGTTTCGAGAATGAGGGCTTGCCATGAATGTGTTCCAACTTCCAACTAAAACTATAGTTGTACCATAAATCAAGGATCAAAAGAATTGAGCAAAAAAGTTTAGGTGAAAATAGTAGCCTTTACACTATAGAAGGGTACACGTTTAAGAGCCTCTCAAATTGATTCAGATAATGGTCATTACATGACAATAAAGAATGGTTTGAAAACATAATAATGTCATAAAATAACATTAATTACAATGACAAAGAGTTCCTAGTATGCAACTTCTATCATTGCATCCTACTGTTGACCAAACTATCCTCTATTTTGTTATGCTTTCTCCAAACCCCCCAATGAAAGTCGTTCCAAAACCCCTTTGATTTCATATCTATTAAATTTTGCATATAAGATGAAATGGTTATTTATCTATTCCAGTTCATGAGTCTGCATTACAACATCCTTGTAAAATGCAGGGAGCTAGGGAGGCAAAACCATCTCAGCTTTCATAAGACATAAGGGGTGATAAAAAACATAGGTAACATAGGACTAAATTAATGATCTTACAATTATAGGCAAGGCATCGAGGTGAAGCTAGGCAATAGTAGGGTGCCCTATCACCAAGTCACCTAGGCAACGTTGGGTTGCTCAATTGTGATTAGACATGTTCACAGGCTGAGCTTCAGGGCTGACTTTACACTGTGTCATGCTCGGGCTTCGAGCAGGCCCATTCAAATTTTGGCAAAAGCCAAGCCCAAGCCTGGCTTATTAATAGGTACAATTGCAACTTGGGTGACCAGGGATCAAATCTTGGAAATAGCCTCTTTATATGTGTATGGATAAGGATATGTATATCTGTCCCTCTCCAGACCCTGCATTGGCGGGAGCCTCATGCACTAGACTGCCCTTTTAAATAAATAACATAAATCCTAGGACAATCCCTCAAGTTCCATAGAAAGCAACAACCATCTTTCACCATTAATTGTTTGTAATCTTCATAAAAAATGTATAAACTTCATTCAAAACATTGAAAAGCAACATATTCATGAAAAGAAAAGGAAGAAAGAAAAGAAATTTCAAAAAATAGAGGGGGCAAACCTCTTTTGTTTCCATTTCATTCCTTAGCTCCTATTTCCATTCCTTTTTGTTGCTTAATGGTTATGGTGTTAGAATGTGGGTAATTTTTCTGAATTTCTAATGTTTTTACCATCCATCATGTCATTTTCTAGATCTATTCATAGGATTGTTTCTTATAAACCTAATATTTGAATTTACTTTTGTTTAACAACCAGTTGGTTATTGGTTTGGTCCATTTATTAGTTTCTGTTTTGCCCTTTGGTTTTTTGATCATTGGTAGTCATGTTATGCTACAGGGACATTAACAATCAAGGGATTTTATTTGTTTGATGTTGGTGGTGTTATTGTTGATGTATCTCATCTAGGGGTATCAATGTATTCAAAAATCAGATTTTGAATTCGAAATTCGACATAATCGAATCGGATTTGGATAATTCGAATATCTAATCGGTTGAATTTGGATATGACCTGATTTGATTCAATAAATATCCGAATTCAATCGATTATTTAAATATTATATATAATAAATAAAATATTTAAATGTCTAATATAATTTATATAAATAATTATTAAATTATATGAATAACATTGAAGGTAGTTAAGTTGAACTGCTATCATAGCAGTGCTATGTAGTAGATGAGAGAACAAGGTGAAAAATGCAAGGCATTTAGATTAAAGCAGGTTTTGTAAAACTTGCTCATCCAATAGGGTGAAGATGACAAAAAGGAGTAAGCGCTGGGTCGTCTTCTTCTCCATGACATATTCCAGCCAATTGGGTGAAGAAGATGATAAAAAGGGTTCTATCTATTTTTATCTCTATTTCTATGCACCTTTCAAATACATGCATTTAAACTTTCATCAATATACTAAAGTATTAATGTTTAAGTTAAAACTTAAATATTGAAATAAGATGAATAAAAAATATCTAAAATACTAATAAGATAAAATATAGATAAGTACAAATTAAATAATAAAAGTAAAGTAATAAAATTTAATAATTAATTAAAAAATTTATTACATTTATAAATAATATTTTAATTTTGTAATTATAAAATCTCTCCCTCTCTCTGACATTTTGGGCCCCATACATCATTATTTGTATTGATGTTGAAATTTGGTAAACACTAGAGGTGGGTCAAGAAAATATAAAATTTTAATTACCAATTTGAGTAGATCTTGATTGATCGATTTGGTTTGCCAAATCTGCTATATAAACTTTAGAAAATGTCTTGAAAATAATTATTAGAAACACTATTAATTAACATGTTTTTGTTAAAACATTACTTTTCACTATTAATTCAATTTTATATAAAATATTTTTTCTGTTATATTTTCAAAAGTTAACAATTTTAGCAAAACTTATTTTATTAGTTAAAATTGATACAAATTAATAAAAATTATTTTTTTAATTTAATTTAATAAAAAAACAACTCTCCCTCTTTCTAATTTCTTCTAGATTTTTTTTTGATTTATTAGAAAATACATAACCCAAGAATAATGCTAAAATGGATAGTGTTCAACTTGGCCCAATTAACACCCGTGCATCACATAGGGCCTGATTAATATGTCTGTATTTATTTGAGTGGGGCTTGGATCAAGTTCAAGTTACCTAAGCTCAACCCAAGTATGTACTTTTTTGTGTTTTTGATAATTAGGTCAAACTCAGGTAGCCCGCTCAAATTGCAGCCCTAATGTCACATTCATCTCCTTTCATATGATATTCATTGTTAGAAGTTAATTTTTATATAAAATAGCTTCAAAGACAATATCATAGATACAATATTGCATCTAAGGAGAGGAAAGATGGCATTTATCATTAAAGGGCATATTGGCAATAATAAAATCTAAAGGTAGCATCCAATTATTTGGAAGATAAATATCTCTAACAAAAAGGCATGAGAGTTATGATGGAGTGCCGACTGCCAACCTGATGCAACCCTCTTCCTTTATCCAGGCTTAGGACCAGCAGTGTAACACAAGCTCACACTAACAGAGGATTAGTCTAGGAAAGAGAATAACCACAGTAGAGACAATACTTGGTAGGCAGCAGAAGCAATAAAACTCGCTCTTTCTTGTGTAAGCGTGGCTACATATGTTCATTCTTCGTATGATACATACCCATGAAGGGTCTGGGAAAAAAATGTCTGAAACAATATTGTACACGAGTCAGCTTATTAAATAGACCAATATCCTTCTTAGAGTGGGCATTTGCGGTTCAACCGTTCAAAAGCAATTTACACTGAAGGATTTGAGAGAGGAATTCAAGAAGGCTAACGTTCAGAGTTGAGACAAAATTAGGGGTCCCATCAAGATGTCCACTCAGTACTACTCCTGTATAGTATATGCTCCTCCTCTATTGCCATTTTATCTCCAATAACTGAAACCCAGGTCTCTGCAATTCTTACTAGTTTTCCATCTAAAATCTCAACTAGAGTGAAGGCTCGCACTGTGCCGGTGGACACAGGTGCATATGTTGAGGTTTCCTCTTTCATAAAGCTTCTCACCCTTGGCACAATGGCTCCATTGAGGTAAATAGTGTTGTCAGCACCCACCACGAGCATCTTCCTAAGACCATTTCCATATGCAAGCTCTTTATGCATGTGTCCAAACACAACCAAAGGGATAGAGAATTGGGTGGTTTCTTTCAGGAGGGATATAGCTCTAGCGAGATCTGTCACCATAAGACAAACGTTAAATTGTAAACACAAGAATCAAATATGAACCGAGAGAAAGTATTTACCAGGATCACCATGATCACCACCACCGAACACCCAGTCTTTCCCACAGATATCATTGATATCGGATCCTAGCCCTGCACACAGCGTAAAGGTTCTAGTATTTAAAGGGGGAGAAGGTACTCTATCATCATGCAACAAATATCGTATATTAAAATTGAATTAGAAATGATGATTTTATATACCTATGGGTCCATTGTGTGCAAGAAATACAATGGAAAGACCCTCTGGTGTCCCTAAGGCAGCTTTATAGATCTTCTTTGCACTCCCATCCATGTCATCAACTCCATATCTAACAGAATGTTTCAAATTGATAATATTCAATTATATTATAAGGGAAGGGGGGGGGGGGGTTCAGTAAACATCTCTAACAGTCTTGCAAAGCCTTGACCTAACAACAATATGGGATCAGCTACACAAATCATGCTCCACCATCCGACTCTGTTCAGTGCCATCCCAATACCTTTTTTTTATCAATAAAAGGAGATTTTGTTAAAATCAAGTTGAGGTATTACAAATAATGGGGAAGATTTCCCCATCCCACAGACTGATATATAATTTATAATGTTGCCCAAAACATTTAGTGCCATCCCAACACTTTTGCTCTATATAAAAATGCTAGCCTTACAAACATTTTCCAAGTATTTTACCCTGATCAAAATCAATATTTTAGTTGTTATCAAACAAGAAAAGCTGATTTTGATTTCTGACTCCATGTTAGGAATGAAAAGAAATCAGTCACTGTAAAGAGTGAACAAGGCATCATAAACAAGGTGATGCATGGAAAAGTCATAATAAGAACAATCTAACCTCAAGGAGCACCTGAGAACCTCCCTCGATCTCAATCCTCTGGAACCCAAACAGAAACTCAACCTTAGGGGCCTGATGATATTTCAATTCTGTTAAAAGTCTATTCTCCAAGAGGTCCAAGGCAAACCAAAAATGATCAACCCACCAATGACAACTAAAAGCTTTAATGATTCCCAACTGCCTTATGTTCCTTGGTCCTTACTGAACTACCATCTAAACTGAGCTTACCATATTCTCCACCCACATATGAAGGGCCAAGTTTGCCAATGGAACATCCACCAAAATTTGATGTACCCCATCTCTGTGACTTCCAACCATTGGATACCAGCTGTCCTCACGTGCATGGCTAGTCAATGATTGCAATCCTGTTAAAATAGCATCCACTCAGACCCCTTTGAAGTCATCCTTACTAAGCATTCAATGTACCATCCTTACTTTAGCTGGACCAATGAGAATGTTAGCATCCTGGCTCTTGACCTAAACACCCTCTTGTTTCTTTTCTCCAATACACTCCAGAAAATGGTAACTCTGTTCTCCTTTAGAGAAAATTTCCATGTTTGGTTGGTGGGGAAAGAAAGTGAGGCCCAAACAAGTATATTGTTTCATTTTAGGGGAGTCCATAATGCACCAAAGGGGGGAAAGAAAGTTTTCCAAAATGTTTGTGGTGAAAGACCAATGCAAGGATAGGTGGTTGGCATTCTCATCTTAATGCACAAGTTAGGAGATAAATACCACAGCCTTCCCATTAATGTTGGTATCTCATCAATGTTGATAATCTTAAGCATGGATTCCCAACAACAGACTAACTTTTGGTGGAGCTGTGACCTAACCAAACAACTATAATTGAGACCAGGGTGGTGATAAGAAATGTTAAGAAGAGAAAGAGAATGTTCCCTGTGAATCAGCAGTTTCAACCCGTTTATCTCCTCCTAGTTCCTACTTGTTAAAGGACAGCATCCCTAAAAACCTAAAGTAGGGAAAAGACTTACTTTCAAAGTCTCCAAGTCCCCTCTTATAACAGCAACCGCATGAAAGACACAATGGTGAAAAGAAAACTTGTGAGAATATGAATCTACTTTTATGAAGGGAGATGGTGTAAAGTCTAGGAAAGAGGAGTTTCTCCTCACCATAGAACTTCCCAGAACCTTACACTTGAACCCATTACGGTCATACCTGATTTCTTGTCAAACCAAGTGTGGAACAAGCCAACATAAATACCTTAAAACAATTTAATCTAATAAAGAACAAAGTAAATGCAAGTAAGCCAAAAAAATAAGTACAAATAAAATTACGAAATGGGGATCATGAATCTTAAGCCAAAAATAAAATAAAACAAAAATCAAGGAGCTTGCTTAATACATCTGACTAACCTTGCTGACAAAAGCCTTTTCCGAAACAAACTTTCACCTCCACAAGAAAATGGGCGTCCACCAACAACACTCATCTTTAACATAGGAAAGTCCAAACGACTATAACCTACATGCTCTTCACCAAGACTGAACAGGAACAAAAATCATGTATTTTGTAAAATTTCATACAACTCTAAAAGGTCATGCTTAGAAATCAAGACAAAAAATCCCTCTCTCTATTATTTTTTTTTTCATATGGAGAAAGCAATATTGTGCCTATTTCTGAATGTGCATTTAAATTAGCCATATGAATGAATGACAAAATGGGATTATACCAGATAAAAACATTAATACATCTCGAAGTTAAGCTAAGGTCCTCCGTCCTACTCACATGGGAACCTTGTCTGATTAATTAGGTTCCAGATTCCAACAACTTACCTAACTAACCAGACAGTGGAAAGAGAAATGCTATGGCACTGCCAATTGTCAACTATCACGTAACAACAAGCAACATTATAGCAATTAAAAGTTTAAAACAAGAGATAAAGAGCACTAAACATTAAATATGGCATGGTTGTGGAAATTCTCCAGACTCAGAATCTTTACACGACATTGGTGATACTCACCATTCCAGCTGAAGTTGGACATGATCTTTCCCCCTAATATTCAAACGAAAAAAAATAATAAGAATAAGAAATATACATGAAGAACCAGAACTTGGTGAAATATACATAGCATATATAAATCAAATACTGTGAAAATCATCAAATTATTATGCAGAAAAGGTAACAGAATCAAAATTTTCTATTTCTCTTTTCTAATTCATAATAAAAAAAAGAGTAAATTACAAACTCCCCCTCCCCCTACTTAGGGTCATGTGACACTTAACCCCTTAAACAGTTTTTGCACATATCTTGGACATTTGTGTAATAATAGGTGATCCTCTTCCCTAGGATTCTATTAATGGAATAGATTGTATATCCCCATGTGCATATCACTTGCTTTTTTAGACATTTCTAATATCATAACAACTTTGCCTTTCTCATACTCCTGTTTCTATCGGATATAGGAAATATAATCACATTGCTCTCTTATAATATTAATATAAAATCAACTATTTTATTTTGTTCTTTCTGTTTTTCTTTCTCCTATTTTTGACCAGATATCACTATGTCTAAGATGATGTACATCCAGCCTTTAATGTATACTAATCAATGTTTTGAAATGTGGAGGCATAACACAAGGCATTTCACTGCCTGGAGGCATGAGGTGTAGTTTAGATTAAGAGAAGGGGATGGGGAGGAATAAGGAAATGGAAGAAGAAGAGGAACGAGGATCTCATTTTTTCTTTTTTTCTATGAAAGATATCTTGTATTAAGAAGAATGAAGAACATGCATAACACTAGCTGAAAGGGAGGGTCTTGTCGAAGCCAAGGCAAGTGAGCAGCCATGGGGGTCTGGGGGCGAAGCCCCTGGCCCAAACTTTCTTTCCTCCCCTCCCCTTCCCTTTTCTTCTCTTTCTTTTCTCTCTTTCTCTCTTTCTCTCTCTCTTTTTCTTTCTTCTCTCTTTCCTTCCCTTTCCTTTCCTTTCCCTTCTTTTTTTTTTTTTTTTCTTTCTTCCTTTTTTGTATGATGTGTGCACCTATGGACCTGAGGTCTATGCCTAAGAGGCATCAGTGCCTCTGGAATATGCCTCAAGGCATTTTTGGGGCACCTCATGTGGAGGCGCACCTCCAGGTGTACACCTCCCATGCCTTTAAAACACTGATACCAATCAAGGGAATCCAGGTAGTGAACCAAAAGATATAATCATGTATCAGGACCCAAAATGGTGTACCAAGATCCAATTGTTGATTAGAGCATCTGGAAGGTCTACCAATATTTATTTATCTAAGCAGTATACTAACTTCACAAAATCTAACTGGCTCAATGTGATGTATCGGGAATTTCACTTTCATAATGATGTGGTAACCATAAAGATTTATTTTTTGATCAATCGTGATAACCATAAAGATCCAGTTGGCCATGGGTGTTTCAAGATCTAACGTCCAAGATGAAGACTGCAATCACAATATTGAACAGACCAAGTTGATGACTGCAATAAACAAGATCTATGTTCAACACAATGACTACAATGAACACATTCCAACTTTCCAAGTGGCATGCTAAATCCTATTCAATTATCATTCTCATCTATGTTACCCAGATACGACAAGGACACAGCTGGATGTGGCATCGGATGTGAAATTTATACCAGAAATTTAAGTTTCTGACATGAAGTGACACCTTTATACAGGTATCTAGGTATTATAGGTTCTCACATGCTAAGATCCAACAATTGACCAGGTCTTTTAAGTCATTGTCAAGTATCAATCTCCAACCATCTAGTCCATCCAAAGAGATGACCTAAGAACCAATAGACGACAAGTTTTTTTATTTGCACCCAAGTTAAATCAGCAAGTTCGTCTATGAGGACTATGAAATGGTATTACTAATATCTTCATTATGTTTTCACTTTTTCTCTGGTGCTACAGCTAGAGGTTCTGGAAAGTGGAAACCCTGCTAGAAAAAGGATCCCACCTATATACATGCAATGGACCCCCACTCACCATCCATGAAAACTTCTATCAACAGATACCATGCTATGCCAATTCTTCATTGTCACTGTTAATGTCCATATTATGCCATTTTAACTGGGTTCCGTTTTTCTATCACTGTTACTCTCACCATTTCCTATGTCTCTACTATGCTTAAACAACTTTCTTTTATGTCCCATGTCACTCACCTTCTCAAATCACCATCCTTATTAGCATCTCCTCCGCCACCTATTCTACTCACCTCCATTATTCCCACCTTTTGTTCTCCCCTACCAATCCTACCTTACCTTGTCCAAGGTAGTCAAATGAGAAAAAAGTTGTTCGGGGGGAGGAAGGGGGCTAAGTGTCATATGAGGATTTTCTTTTAACTCTTTACATTACCCTGAATTTTTTTTAGTTATCCGGATAGACAGATACATGATACATGAGTGGAAGTAGGTCTGGCAGTTGGGTTGTTTATTAAAGAAGTCTAATCCAGAAATCTACAACATGGCAAGATGGTTTGGGCCTCAAAAGGATAGGGAAGACTTCAGCCTATAGCCCCTTGGTATGTGGCCAAAATAACCATTTCCTTTAGGGAACTTATTAAACTAAAAATGTTGGAAATTTGGACAGACTAAATTACTCAGAAAAAACTCAAACAAAAGGTGGGGTACAGAGCTGATGTGACTGGGGAACCATATGACTTGTCCAGAGGGTCATGAATCCACTTCTCAGTTGAGATTGTTGTGTGTGTTTTAAATTATTAACATCAAGGATTAGAAGGTAACCTTTCAAAATCTCTCCATAGAAGCAACAACTCCAAATCACAAAATTTGTACCATAGGAAATCTGCAAATGACCATTTTTCTCAAGATAAATGAAATAAAAGGTTGAACAGTGAAAAGGGCATGGAAGCTTACTTTTTGGAAAACTGTTGGGTATTCCAAGAATCATGATTTCCCAAAATAACTGCTTTTGCAATCTTAAGATCTGCAATACTTCTTACAAGTTCAACATTCTCATTACCGAAGTCACCTGCAAGTCCTCTTTTTGTCAATAACAAAATGAATGCATGAAGAATCCCACCTATTATAATGAACAAAAGATACGTGCAGTTTAAGGGCTGGTTAAATTTTCTCAAAAAAAAAATAATAATGGACAAAAGACAACCCAGGAAGATACAAAAGCTATAAATTCAAAAGACAGAACTGAACCAAATGACAGTCCTCATGGTATATCAGGTTGATAAATGGCATGCAGTGGATGACACCTGCCTGTAAATAGTACCAAATCTGGCTGCATTCCATAAAAAACCATGTCAGATCAGTAACATGTGCGGTTAAAAGTAAAGAAGCTAAAGAATCAACCCTAGTGAGTGAGTGAGAGAAAGGGAGGGGGACATGATAAGGAAATAGACTATGAAGTATTAATCACCATTGGTGCAATTGAGCAACTGCAAAATCAAATTGTAGAATGAAAAAACATCATCTTGTAGATTAGATTACATTCAGTTCTACTTGACTTAAGTCCAATTAACTTGGGTACAACTTTTGGTATTAGCCATTTTGCATCATGCACCATTGTTCTCACTGCTATAAAATGACTTACGATTTTCCCAACTCACCATGTGAACCACACATTTCACAAGTTCATCCTTTTTTTTTTTTGAGATGATCAATTATTACAATTTTTTATGCATTGCCACCACAACAATGACTGCCTTCTTAGACAAATAATTAGAGACATAAATTACTTTAACCATGAATTGAGGATAAAGGTCCACCTAACAGAGCCATAAAGAATGGCCAAGAAAAAGAAATGCCACAATTTGGTTTAATTGTCTGTCACTCTGTCTAAAATGACATGCTCCAGTTAAAAGCAATATATGTTTTAGACACATTACTTGGGTAGCATCTTGCTTATTTTTTGCATAGTGACACCATGTGACATTACACTGCATTATTTTTCCAGGGTAAAACTTCTCCGAACTATTTTGATACAATTTTCTTTTTTTTCTGGTAACTGCAAATTTCAATCATATTGTTCCAATTACAATTTGATTATTACATATCTTCCTCTGTATAATTGTTTGCTTGTGGTGTCTTGTGATGTTGTTACAATGCTAAAATATTGCACTTCTTAATGCATTTAAGTTCATTTTTATTTTAATTTTGTTTCTTTCTTGGTTGTGCAATATAATCTTGTTTTTCTCCTTCAATACTCAAAAGGGCGGTGATGGCATCCTCCTTAGGATGATAACACTGATTCAATTCCATAAGCTGAAAATCATGAGATTAGCACTCATAATTTAGGGACTTGACATAATGTATTCATGCTTCATTGTAGGAATACCCCTTCGCAGATATTGAAGATTCTAAACACACGTTCTTAATTCTTTAGAAGGGCCTAGATTCCTAAAATAGCATCTGTGATGTCTTGTATCAACTCCCTGATTGAGAAATTCCAAACAGGCAATCTTAGACTTCAAGGGACAACCTCAACTGTCCTCTTATTTAGGACATGTTGACGACCTTATTCAAGACCCATGAAATGTATACCACAGTTCAACTTAAGGTTAAAGATTAGAAATTCAATCTATACAGACAATCATTATCACAACTGGCAAATTTTTAAAAATAAGTCTTTTCACAGAAACAGCTCAACGGAAGAAATCTATAAAAAGAAAAGCTCAAACTATTAGGGAAATTAAGTAGAAAAAAGAATAAGGAGAAAGATACCTGCAAAAACTGAAGTGCTCTTTCATCTTCTTGTAGGTTCCAATCATCATGCTATAACAACCAAAAGTTAATTTCAATAACAAAACTGTGAGGTATCCATCAAATGATTCTCAAAAACCAAATTTGGCATCCAAATGAATACCAATTAAATCATAAAGTGTAGATGAACCCTAGAAAGTGGTTCTGAAGCTAATCCATTTCTAGCAATTGAGCTTCATGATAAGACAGATAGGGTTTCTAAGAGAATTTCCAATAAGATTGAGAGAGTGTGTATTTGTATGCCGACTATACTTACAACATCTCCAACCACTGCGATTCGAACTGAGCTAGGCATGCTTACACGGTTTCGTTGCTTCGAAGAGGAAGAAGTGGAGAGAGAAGCGAAGAAACAACTGGTAGTTGACGCGTGCATTCTCACCCATGTGCGCAGCATAACCCTCTCCCGCGSTTAACTCAACGAGAATCGTTATTCGAGTTCAGGTGATTAGCTTCGTTAGATTTGTTAACTCTTTATTAAATAGATTCTAATCTGACGCCACTAATCAAGCCATATCAGCCTTAGGTGTCTTTTTTGAAAAAAAATTGGGTCATTTACTAAATGATCACATGGCCACTAAACCATGGTCCATGGGACGGGCGTGGGCCAAAGGTTCTTTTCAAAAGAATCCAATCAACCCATAACACTTTTTTAAATAGAAAATAAAACTGGTCGAATATATTACCCAAACAAACTGATACCAATGTTTTAAAAAACGAAATTGAAATCGTTTTGGCCACCGGTTTTTGGGTTAATAGTTTSATTGTTTGATCCGAATAATTGGTCTATTTTAATAAAATAAATTATAAAATTAAAAATTAAAACAGCCAAAAACTATTGAACGGGTTAAACAAATTGATAGTTCGACCACGCGAGTCAATGGGTTATTGTCTGATTTAATAGTTTTTAACTATAAATTAGGTTTAGGGTAAAATGGAACCAATTGCCTGAACAGTTCTCAGGCTGAATAGTCTAGATCAACGGTGGTTCAAAAACCATAACCGATGTAAATAAAGTGGTCGTTCATGTTTTATCAAAAAATTTTTATTTTTATTTTTTATTTTTCAACTAAATTTACATTAAGGTCAAAACCATCATTTGTCATCAACAAAATCAATTTATACCACCCTTTGGGCTGATGGGTTGAGACAATGAGTAATTTGGGTACGAGGATCTCCCAATCTTCCTAAACATATGAAGCAAAATGAAACAGCTATTTGGTTTACCGCTTATCAAATAAATGGTAGAAAATTGTAACACTTTGATTTTTGTGCATGAGGCATTTGGGGAAATGTCAAATTCTTGTTTCCCCTAATGCCCCAGCGTTTATTGAAAATAAATGCTAATGTGACACACTTTAATGAGTATTAATCTGAGGTGGAGAGTAAAAAATGTTTAAAAGTCAAGCCAAACCAAACAACAAAAACAGAAAACATTTAAAGTGAAAAGTATAAATAAACGTTTAAAGTGAAAAAGTATAAATAAACGGCCTATCCATAAACGCCCATAAAACCAAACACATACTTGTTTATTACACATGTAACACAACACACAATTCCATATAATCTAAACTAATACATTTAACTTGTTTAATTCTACACTAAATGACACATATGACTTGAATTAACACGAAGCCAACACAATTAACCTATTAAAATTAAATAATAATGGATTTAAATAGTAAAATAAAAATTCAATAATCCATTATTTAAATAAATTCATAAAAACTACTCAATATTATTTCATCCAAATATACATCTATGATCTAATACTTGAACACAGGTCATGTCAAATGTTATTAGCCTAGCCCAAACCCGTAAACATGGTGAAAGCGAAATTCGATGCCAACTTTTTACCAAAGCCGGTTGGCACCTTTAATAAGTGAATTAACTAGTTATGGATTTTTACCCATTCCATGCCATCCATACAAAGGGGCAGCAATTAGAGATGTTTATGGTTTGATTTGGAGATCTCATACTATAATAATATAAATCACGGTTTAAGAAATTCTCAGACCACCATTTTAGTAAATAAACCAAATCCACAAACCATTTATTATGGTTTGATCCAGTCTCTTGTACAGTTTGGGCTATTTTATTGGGCTTAACCTAATTAAAAAGTCCAAATAACATGCATACCTACATAAAAAACAACTATAATTCAAATATCAAACTGAAATATATTAACAAATGTTACCTAGTAGGCTAGTACTATTACATAAATTACATTCACACTTTTTCAAGCATAAATATTTCATTGGGCATCAAATTACAAATTACGAATTGAAACAAACAGCAACAATGTATGAAATGTTAAATGAATATGTCCGTACATATGTATTATATATATATATATATATATATATATATATATTATATAAATCGATAAATGTATTATTAATAATTTAGTTCACGATTTGGTCTAATTTTTAAAATTTAGAAAACCAGACCAAACCAGAAATTTACAATCTAAGGAATTCTTAAAACCAAACTGTGAACTAATGAATGCCTCTAGCAACAATGATCTACATTGTTTGTCAATGCTGGTGCCACTTGAAGCTACTATACGTTTCCCATGCAGCTCATCTGAGGTCAATCCAATGAAATTACTTTATCAAGAAACAGTGGGTCTGGCATGATAGATAAGAGTTAGTCAGGTTAGCCAAGAGACTTGCCTAGTAACCACGTAAAGCAATTCTAAGACGTGGTAGAGCTGTGCCTTGGAGGACATAGGCAAGTCATTCTTGGCTACCAAACACTCTTAGCTTCATGTAAGACCACCTTCCTTTCAATCTGTCATCCATGAGTGGTCTGTGAATGCTCAGGCTCTTTATTCCCACATCACTTGTATCCAAGAAAAGTAGGTCTGGCATGAGAACAAAAGTTTGTCAAGTTAGCCAAGGAACTTGCCCATGAACCATGTAAAGGGGTTCTCTGTACACTTGAGAGACCCCCTTCCAAGGACATAGGCAAGTCATCCTTGGCTACCAAACAAACTCTTGCATTCATGCAAAACCTCTCTTCATCTCATCAAGTCCTGTGCCATTCCACGGGATCGATGCAAATACTTTGGATCCTCAGCTTCTATTTGAAGGCCAAGAAATTAAAGTTGGTCTAGCATGAGATATGAATCGGTCAAATTAGCCAAGAGGCTTGCCTATGAACCGTGTCAATTGTTTCAAGGACAGCAGAGGAGCTCAGATCTGCTACCCATAAAGACATTACCCACATGTACCCATAAAACATTACAATCGTCTTCCTATAGATGAAAACTAAAATGTTCCTGTTGTATAGCAGTAGTGTCTTATAGATAGGCTTGGGAGGACATAGGCAAGTCATTGGCTATTAAACCGACTATGATCTTCATGCAAGACCAGTACTCTTCTTCTCAATGCGTCTTCTATCCTCCAATGAGATGCCAATACTTGGTCCATGGGTCCCTATTTATAGCAAATGAGGAGTGGAGATTAGATTCCAATTGCAACAAAAATTAGCACTCAAAAGTTTGCAAGGCCATTTGACATGTACTAGTGGGGTGTCAATGGGGCGGGCAATCGGGCCGGGTATTTGACATTTTCCTACCCTATAGGGGACCGGTTTGCTATAACTCACTGATCCAACTATTCTGACACAAAAGGGAAAAAAATATATGCAATCTATATCGGGCATAAAGTCATGAAGATTTTTAAATTCTGTTAATATAGATTTCAGGTGTTTTTTCCCCATTATTTTCTTATTTATCAATAATTTTATTTTATTCTTCCTTAATTTCACGCCCTAAAACTACCCTGCCCTACTTTAAGTATATTCTAGGGGCAGAGCTGGTTAAAATTTTGTGAGAGGCCAAAATGAGTGCAAATCGGGTTGCCCGAACTGAAAAGTTGCAACTGCATCGGGCTTGGATTTATTTGTGCTTGGGCCCGTTCAAAATTTGACAAAAAACTCAACCTAACCCAATACAAGTTGCACCCTCCATTTGTCCAAATTTAAAATTTAATCTGATTAGAATGATCCGAATTTGATAATGGGATTGAATATAAAACCACCCCAATCATCCAACAAGAGCCAAATATTAACTAGTGTAAAGGGTACAAAATGTAAGAGTAAAGATATAAGTTGATATTATAAAATTAAATTAAATTTTTATGACCAACACTAAAGCTAAGACAATCATCTACTTTATAATAGTATATATAGATATATGTTTGTATTCATGTAAAACTAATTTTCATGCATTAGTTTGAATACTATTTTAAATTCATTAAAGGAGCTCAGAGATCTGCTACTCTCAAAATGCTACTTATACCCATATCTATATTAAATTCATGGAGAGATGTGCTTAATATGCAGTTGGATTCCTATGGTTGGAGAGTGTGTGAATGTAGGTAACCGTTAGTGAGTAGTGTGATAGTGTCCATTGTCTAGATTGGACTCTCATTAAAAGGTCATACTATATACGTTGAAGTACACTGCACTCCACTGCAGAAATTTGAAATTACAGTTCCCCATAGTCTATTAGTAACCCTCTTATAAATCACATCTTACTCATGGATTTGGCATCGATTCATAGTCAAAATTCATCCCACTTGTATGATGGGACTAAGAATTCTGAGGTGGGCTGAACAGTCATTCTCCCAATTGTTTTTGTCATTTTATTCATGATGTAGGCTATCAAAGCCATTTCTAGCTTTTTTTTAATGTTCATTATATTTTAGCAATTTTTAGTTTAATTTATTAGCGGTATGCAATATCCAAGTATGACATGAATCCAATGGAAAAGATTCACATCAACTCTAATTCCTAATGGATCAAATTTGGAGCTAAATAAATCCAATTAGAATCAAGTTATATTGCAGTATTAGGCTGAGTTTAGGAGTATAGAGTGCAAAACCTCATATTTTGTATGTATTTATGCTGCACATATTTGTATTTACTCTTTCCAAACTGATCCTTAGTTAAAGCCCAACCAATACCAAATCCGACCTATTGTTATCCCCAGCAAGTGTTGCTATCTTCTCAACATAGGTGAGTCTAAATGAACAAGATTAGTGTCAATCGACCAATTTTGGATTGGATCCAATCCGGTCCAAACTTTAACAAATTGGATTTGGACAGTCTATTATAATTATTGGATTGGGCCAATCCAAAACAAATTGGTCCATATTCTTATTGGTTTGAATTGGACCTAAACCAAAATTCCAATAATATGATCATGAGGCCAAACCCTTGTTCAATTTGAAGCCGATCAAAACTGAAGCCGACAAAAAATCACTTTTATGAAAATACTTTTACGAAAACAATTTTACAAAAGCACTTTTATAAGAATAATTTTATGGAAAGTACTTTTATGAAAGCAAGCACTTTTACAAAAGTAGTTTTATAAAAGCACTTTTATGAAAGTACTTTTACACGAAAGCACTTATA